ATTTATATATTTATATTTTATATAATATTTTTAAAATATCATATTTTTATTTATATATTCATATATATTTTTAAATATATTTTTATTTATATATTTGTATTTTATATAATATTTTTAAAATATATTTTTATTTATATATTTATATTTTATATAATATTTTAAAAGTATTATATATATTTGTGTTTATATTTACAATGGACTTGTCATAATGAAGCCTACGGTGGTGTGTCAAAACGTCTCAAAAATCTTAATTTTGAAGATAGTTTTCCAAAGGCTTGAAAGACTCAGAACAAAAGATCAAGATGGTATCCGTTCTTTCAGTATCCGTTTTTTTTTCTGAGCTGGAGGTTTGTATTTTCTCCTTTCGGAGAACATCCAAAGTTTTTGAACTGCGCTGCCAGGATTAATTAAAAAAAAGGGGGAGAGAGAGAGAGAGAGAGCTCAGGGACAGAAAGAATTTCCAGTCTCAGCTGTGAGCTGGTGTAGTGGGTCTAAATGGCCAGGCAGTGGCAGCGTTGAGCATCCTGGGACCAGACACTGATGGTTTGGCCAGTGGGAGGGAAAATGGTGGATGAGTCATTCCTGAGTATTTGTGTGTATTTTGTGTTGCTCCTCCTCCTCTTCCCTCATCCAAGGCCAGTTCTAGCTGCAGCAAGAATCCAATAACAATTTCAAGCGACTGATTTATTTTCCCTCTGTGATGTTGTTGGCAGGCTATTTGACTGTGGGGGCATCACGGCTGAGCCACTCTCCATCCACTCCCACCTTCCAGCAGCAACCTTTACTGGTTAATCCTTTAGTTTGTGGTGGTATGGGAAGAAGGGGACCATGCTGAGCTTTGGTAGATTTCCCGAGCTGTCACTTTGCCTTAACTCAGCACAGACCTGGGACCTTTGTGTTAGCCATAGCTCTCTCACCCCCATGTGTTGCAAGTTCCCACTCGTTCCAGTCTCCACATAATCCTGATTGATGCTTCATCGCGCCTAACTGAAGGGGTGCTGCATTGTTGAAGGTGCAGTCTTTTAGATGAGACATGAAACCAAGACCCCTCTGCTCTGTCATGGTCAGTATGTCAGTGTAGCTTTAAGAGAGATGGCCAGCCGCTGATATACCTTTGAAAGTAATAATTGTTTATCATAGTCATAAACGTCTATTGTATCTAGAAACATAGAATAGAAAATAGCAGCAGTTGTAGGCCATTCAGCCCTTCGAACCTGCTCCTCCATTCAGTATGATCACGGCTGATCATCCAACTCAGTCCCCTGTTCCCACTTTGTCTCCATACTGTTTGACCCCCTTTAGCCCTAAAACCTATTTTTAACTACTTCTTGAGAACATTCAATGTTTTGGCCTCAATCACTTTCTGTGACAGAGAATTCCACAGGCTCCCCACCCTTTGGGTGAAGACATTTTTCCTCAGTTCAGCCTGAAATGGCCTACTCCTGAAACCTTAGACTGTGACCCCCTGGTTCTGAACTCCTGGGTCATTGGGAACATCCTTCCTGCATTTACCCTGTGTCTATTCCCATATCTCAGTACCATGTTATCCATGGCTCGTTTATTGTGTTACGAGGGATAACATAAGCATTGCCGAATCAGGTAAAATATCATGCTGGGGGCAAAATGCATTTCACTCCAGTTTGCTTTCTGAGTTGGTTGCAAAAGATCTCTTGCCATTACTATGTAGCAGAACAATGGAGTCTCCCTGATATCCTGATCAATACTTATCCCTCAGCTCATACCAGTAAAAACAGATTAACTCTTCATTGTCATATTGGGATCTTGCTGTGCACATCGCAACAGTGACCCACATTTCAGAAATACTTCAGTGGCTGCGAAGAGCTTCGAAACGTCCTGAAATTGCAAGAGACACTACATGAATGCAAATTCTTCCTTTTCTTTAGTTGATGGAGACAGTAACCTGAAGGGGGGACATCTTAGGTTGGGGAAGTGTAATGTTAACATTGTCCAAGCCCTATTTTTTGCTCTTACTTCAGAATTATATCCTCCATTTGTTTATTGACTGGCATGTAATTTGTCGGTGGATTGGAATGAGGGAGTGAGCCTGTTAGAGTTCTTGACTCTGCGAGCAATCTTTCCAAAATCCTCATACCTTGGGACCGCTGTCAAAGTGTCTGGAGTGATGGCAGGACCGCACTTGACAGGGAAATAATTTAGCTTCAGTCAGACCCTCTGCCCAGGAATTTATGTGCAAATATTTGCCAATCATGAAACCCCGCACCCGGCCAAACTTCCCACCCCCTCGCACAGTCTCCCGTGCGGCCCTCCCTTTCTCTCATGTCAGATGATGTTGCTGATTGAAATCTGGCACGTCCCTGTCGAATGCTTCAGTCTGGGTCTCCCTGCACAATAGGAAACAGATCATTCTTTCCATGAGACTCCATTGCTTACATCTGGTATACCACAGTCCCATCCACATCACTATTTCATTACAGCACAAAGACCAACAGTAAACAACTATGAAAGGGCCCGACTTTCCAGTTATATTAGTTTTTTTTTGAAAGTAAAATAAGCAGATAGCACACACACGCACGACTTAGATTAAATGAAAACAGAGAACATTGAAAACGTATTGCAGTTTTGTCAGCTTCTGACAGAGAAAGACAGGATGGGACTTAACTGGCCTCTTCTGATAAAAGCTTCCATCCAACATTTTAATAGATTTCTCTTACTTTCTCTCTCTCTCTTTCCCTATATTATCTCCCTCTCTTTTTCTCTCTCTCTTCCTCTCTCTCTTTCCCTATATTTATCACATCCATCTATCTATCTCTTCTACTCTCTCTTCCTCTCTCTCTCTTTTACATTCTGTCTCTCTTTCCCTGTATATATATATCTATCACTCTACCTCTTTTTCTCTCTCTTTCTTTCTCTCACTTCCTTCCTTTTTTCACTTTCTCTATCCTTTCTTTCTCTTTCTCCTTTTTCTCTAGCTCAATATATTTATTTATTTTCGCCTATTCTCTCCCTTTTTTAAAGAACTCTTTTTCTTTATCTCTTTTTATCTCTGCATCTTCCATGGTCCATTGTTGCCTGTTGGAAAGAGATGATGGTGTATTAATAATGTCACTGAGCCTAGTCATTTGGAGGTCTGGGCTAATGTGTTGGGACCACAAGTTCAAATCCCATCATGGCAGCTATTAGAATTAAATTTAATTCATAAACCTGGAATTGAAAGCTAGTTGGAAATGTTGACTCTGATTGGTCAAGGTATTGTCCTGAGGAATGAACAAGTATTAGAAGAACAGTTAGCAGTCTTATTAAGGTGAAGCAGGTACAATGCTTTTTGCTTTTTGCAGACAGAAAGAACTGCCTGGTTTAAATTTAAACAAAGTTTGGCAGCTAATGGTCAATCATCATCAAACTGTGCATTCTCTAAGGCAATGCCTCAGCCAATCACTTTCCAACTAATCAGCACTCTCTGCTCAAACAGTATCAAATACATTTCACCCTTACATTGATATTCTTGTGAAATGTCCTGATGAGTGCAAGACAAAATGCTTCGACAAAACGGGTCTTTTTTTTGGAAATACACAAACACTGGATGATGTTTCATTTCCTTCCTTTCTCCAGTCTGTCTGATTTATAACTAAGATTTCAAATAACTGATGACATTGCTGAGAGGGGCTCTTATGGTGAAAGAGTGAGTGGGGTTACAACGGTAAAAGCCCAAGGTATTTCAGTGGCTTTGACTTTTAACTTACTGCAATGTGCCTGGTCAACTGGCAGAGCAGCAGCAGTGTATACCACCCACAAGGTGTACTTCAGCAACTTACCCAGGTTTCCCCAACAGCTAAACCCTTAATCTCTCCCACCTGTAACGACAAGGGCAGCAGATACATGGGAGCGCCACCCCCTGCAAGTTCCCCTCCAACCCCCTCACCTTCCTAACTTGGAAACATATCGCTGTTCCTTCCTTCACTATTGCTGGGTCAGGATCCTGGAACTACCAGCCCTGTGGGTGTAGGTGCACCATGTGGACTGGGGTAATTCAACAAGGCATGGGTTCATCGCCACTTTCCACAGGAACATTCCAGCCAGTGATGCCCACATCCCATGAACAAATTAAAATATAACTCCCCGATTATGTCATCAGTCATTACAGTTCAAAACCAGTTTAAAAACATCCATAACCCAGGGAGATCCCAGGTCGGACCCGAAACCATTCAGTAGCGACCAGATCCCCAGTTTCTATTGCATTTATTGATCTCATGGAAGGGAAAAGTTATGGCCAAGAAGGGGATAATCATTCAAGGAGCTTCCTCCCAATTGTTGACTTCTGTTCAAATGTGCAGCCATCTTGACACTTGGGGAGAATGGCATCATGCATGACAATGATGCTATCCATAGTCAAATAGTCTCAAGCGTGGTAGAAACAGTCGTTTGTCACACTGAGCGTCCAGAAGTGAGGGAAGACAGCTGACAGGACAAAGTGTTGTGGAATCTGAACAACAAGGATCCCAGTGGAGTTGCCTGCACTCCTTGTGAAGGGTTTGGTCTGAATTTGATGCAGCAGTCCTGCAATTTAAGCTTCGTTTTATTTGATGGGGTGAACTGTGATTTTTTTAAAAAAATCTGGCACCTCTAACAATGCTGTGCTTTACCTTGCAATTTTTTTTTTCTTTCCCCTCATTGCTAAATGAGTGACTAATTCACTTAATGGTTTTTTTTTCCCTCCTTATATCGATTTAATTTGCATCACCTTTGACCCAGGATAAAGAAAATGTAAGTAGGTTCGTCTGTCTCCAGAAACACTTCATTTCTCTGATATGGAACTAGAGTCTTCCTCTTTTCTTCCAATTTCAGAGTCTCTTCTGGTTGGGTTCCTTCTTTTCCGCAGCATTTCAGTCCCCGTTTTTGCATGATTTAAATTTGCATGATTTTGAACCATTCCTGTTCTTGTTTTGTACTGTTTTTGGCACTCGTTTGATATTTGACTGTGAAGCCCAGCCTCTGATTTGCTGCATGGCCAATACTTAGTGTGTGATCTTTTTAGATGTGTTTTTTGACTCTACTGTCTATCATTGATGTAGAACCGGTGTTGTCCAATAGAAGTTGCTGGCTAGCCATACAGTGGCAATATTAACCACCAATTTTAGTTAAAATTAAACGACCTATATACAACGACGGTACACGTGTTTATTTGCTTGGCAAACCTCTGCTGTTGTTAAGTGACCTGGGAAGCAAGGCAGATACGACAGTCGTGGTTTGCCAAGCAAATAAACACGTGTACCGTCGATGTATATAGGTCGTTTAATTTTAACTAAAATTGGTGGTTAATATTGC